GTTTAAACACCCAGACAATGGTTATCACCATTTTACAGATATGTTAATGGAGGCAAATCCTACACACTGGTGATCTGCGTGTTAGGAGCATTCCCGTAAAAACACATGGGCAGACCCCTGTAGCAAGGTGGCAAAGGGCTCTGGGTGGACACAGAATCCACCTGTGCAGAACAGCTTGCAGGCTTAAGGCTTCAGTGACTACAGCAAAGGCACCAAATAAGTAACTGAGATGGGACTAAAGCACAGGATTACTGACCCCCACCCCGACCTATTCCCCAGTATCTAAACCACACTCCCTCCCACAATGCACTGCAACATGAACAAAACAAGATGCTTTGTTAGACCTTATTAATATCCAATTGATATTAATAGGCCACTAATTCTTTAAGTTTTATTAATAAGAATCAGTGACAGGTGAGAGTCTTGATATTTCACATAACTGTTTTCTGTGTTGCTGAAATCGATGTAATTCTTATGGTTGTTTTTTTGGAAACAAATTCTTCAGTGCTTTTTTCACAACATCAAATCTGTGCCAGCAGCCCTACAATACTTAACCAGCATACGTTGGTGTGTGTGAAAGAGAGAGAGGGGGATAGGGAAAATCTTAAAGAAACAATTACAATTTCAACGCACATTCTGTTGATTAATAATTAGTATTACATTATTAACTAGGAATAAATAGCCAATCATGAGACTCAACTACTGCGGTTCCCTCCCAACAAGATTTCCAGCAGGGCTCCTCCGTCGCATGAAGCTTGTGCAGAATGCAGCAATGCGTTTACTCACTGGATTGAGCAACTGTGATCATATTACGTCTGACCTGCATTCTCTATTATGACTTCTATAAAGGGTAGATTAAAAACCAGCAAGGCCAATTCAAAATCAAAGCCCATTACAGTATGTATTATCTCGCTTAACCTGCTCCTGTCTCCTGACCATCTCATCCACCTTTTCGGTATTCAGTCATCTCAGCTTAGGTCAGCAGCTGATCAAGCCTTTGTTGTGGTGACTGCCGAGGCATGGCACTTACTCCTCCTTGATATCTGTCTCAGTTCCTCTCCCATCATATTCTTTTAAAGAAGTATTTTAAAAATATATTTGCTATGACGGCTATTGGACCTTCCCTTGTCCCCAGCCGCCACATGCATCTGCCTGAGTTTGCTTCTGGTTTTTAATGTTTTTTGTTGCAGATAGTTGTAATATTGACATTTGTATTGTGTTTTATACTATATTATTATGACTTGTCCATCAGTGCTTTGCGGCAGGGCCATTTATAACTAATATTGGGCGCTATAATGCTATCATTTAAAAAACATAATGCCTATTGATTTCAATGGGGAGCTCTGCATAAGATTGATGGCACAACAGGACCAATTATTCTTATTAACAGTGACTAAAAATTATGTTAAAACTATGACAAATACCTTGATTAGCTTTTAATTGATTTTTATGAACATGATTCACCTGTTTTTTCTTATAATCCCATCTGTTAAATTGAATCTTCTCCACCCCCTTATTGCTATAATATATTAATATCTGAGTCATGACACTTGGCTTTTCACAAACACAGAGACTTATTCAGGGCATGGTCCTGAGTTAAATGGCACTGAATGTATTTGTGAATAAAGTTCCTCGTGTACATGTTTGCAGAATTGGATCCTTTCTTTCATCATTTTAATTCACCCTGCTCAATATTGCCAAATAGAGCACTAAGCAGCATGAACTGTGAGCTTCTCATAACTTAATAACTGTTAATGGGCCACTTCAGGATACCTGCTAGGGATTACCCCCATCAGATATCCAGGGGACTCTCGGAGAGTTCAAAACCCCCACTCGTGGACTACAGCAATAGAAGAAGTCATTTAGCTTCATGCTAAGATAAATTTTTTTCCATACAGAATGATAGCACTAAAGCTTTAACCGGACCATTAAAAGAGAGAATGTGCTTGGTCAGTGTAAACCCAAACTCACGGAAGGCTTCAGATTTTGGGTGTTCTCACATCCCTTGTAAATAACAGTTGATGGCAACAAAATAAAATGTTCTTCACAAATTTTTAATGTCCGGAGGCACTTTTAAACATTTAACTTTTTTCCCCACGACTTTTGACTCTGAAATTTCTTTTTTGTGTGTTTAATACCTCTAAAGAAGAGAATTTAAACTGAGAAAAATAAAAGACTGAAAACAGATTTATGAAAGTCTTGGTTAAATTCACGAAAATCTTGGTTAAAGCCACAGAAACCATTATTTTGTGATTCCTTTCTTTTTCATTCTCTTCCTTGAGATTCCTTTCTTTGGCATCTGTTACTCCAACACTGGAGAAAACTAGGAGGTTTCTTGCAAAGATACACAAAAGATGGTCCTGAAAACAGTTCAGTAACAGCAAGCTCCTCCTCCCAGCTTCGCCCTCCTCATCTCACAGAAAACAAAGAGAATCCGTGTAGCTTGAGTAATACAGATTCCCTTAAGGGAAGAAGAATCATGGGCACTTGCATGGTAGTGTTGCTTAAATTGCTTCTCATGTAGGCCAAATCCTAAAAAACGCTTTAGTGTAATAACAGCTTCCAAACAATTTCCAATAAACATCTACAAGTATCTCTTATTCACTGATATAAGGCACGACAGAGAAAAGACAATGACTTTTCAGGTCATTTGAAATTCCCCTACTGATATTTATCTATGCATTTTATAATGACAGGATGGTAGAATAGTGACAAGTGGCAAACAGAAGAGTATATTTTCAAAGGGGCATACACTTTCCACCTGCACCTAGGAGAAACATGCAGAACTACCTTTCAGGAGCAGAATGGCACAGAGTCAGTAAAACAAAGGGTAGGCAAATAACATTGCAATTAAATTGAATTTAAAAAAAGTAACAACCACCAGAAACATTTTTTAGGCTTTTCCTATTTTTTTTTAAATGTTGCATTTGTTTTTGTTTTACCAAAATATAAAATGTATATGTTCAAATTTTCCTTGCATACTGCTATACGTTAGTCCTATTTTGATCATAAGCTGTTCTGGACAGGGACCTTGTCTTCTCATTGTGAAACACCTACTATACTTTTAGCACTGTACAAATAATAAAAAGTTTGTTAACCCTTTGGAAAATTAGACACATATTTACATGCTCCTAAGCATTCATTTAGCTGGCAGCCTGGATAGTGCCAGTGCAAGCCTTAATATTGTTAAAATATGCAACTATGAAGATAGTTAAATACATTAAATACATTAAAATAAATAGTATTTCTAATATTTTAAAATGGACTGAGATTTTATTTCTGGAATTGCATTTCATTTTACCATAGATTCTTATTTAGTGAATACGCAACTTTCCTTTTCCCTTTTGACCTTCGCTTGCATGAATGTGTTATGATACTGAGAAGTCTAAAAAAATTGACCAGAGCAACGCTAACACATATTGTTTTCCGAGTTATCTAGTGCATAAGAGACAAAGAGTTGTCACTCTGAAACTCCTTTGAATAAAAGACCATTAGTAATGTAACTTCTCACAGCTTCTTATGAAATATCACCACCACACAACTTCTGTCGCTAGTGTGGGCCCAGTCCCTGCTCAGGCTTAGACCAAATTCCCTTTCACTTCAATGACAGTTTGCAGTATTTGTAAACAATATATTGTAAATTGCATTATCAGGGTCCTATACTGCAAGTCTTCCACACAGGGAAATGCTATTGTTATTAATGGAGGGTTCCTCATGTAAAGGATTTACAGGATCAGGCTAATAGGGACTGGCTATCCAGTTTTCTCTCTTCTATTTGTAAACTGAGTGAATTCGTTGTATGAATATGGATAGTTTGTTTTCCATTAAGTGCCTGATCCTGTATTAACAGCATACACAAAACCAATATAGGCAGGGAGAATTTAAGGTATGAGGGGAATTTAGGCTCAGACCCTAAGTGAAAAGGAAACAAAGGTGACATGGCACCCAGGAAGTGGATTGCATTGTCCTATAAGTCCCTCCTTTTCATGACCACAAATCACACTAACATCATTTTTAAACCTGAAAAAAAATTAAAAGTTGTTGCTGAGTGCATGCAAATACTGTTCAATGTAATTTGGGTCTGCTCTTCTGCATCTTTTAAGATGACTTTCTATATAAGATCTCTGATCTTATTTAATTTCCTCCTTATTTGATGGCATTTACTCTGATTTGTAGGACTGGGAGATGAATTTTCATATGTGTCCTACTTCATTGTGGCAGGGTTTTTGTTTGTTTTCTTAAATACAGCCACTTAATATATTTAATTTTTTCCTATGTACAACACATTTCATTCACATCGTAGCAATTAATATCTGCTGTTCTTTGTAAAGACAAAATATTTTTAGAGCCATTGTTGCATCATTCACTATCAGAAATGTATATTAAATATATTAAATGTTTATTTTGTAAAAGGGTTTTAAAATGCACAAAAGCATGCATTTCATATTGCTTTTGCAATCAACAGATCCAAACATACAATATGGACTAAATAAATCTATAAGTTTATTTCTTTAAGACATAAAGCACCATAACCTAAACAGACACCTTCATATCTGGACTTTTTTGGGGTCCAAATCTTACTGCATGGTCTTTCTGTTATTATTTAAACTCCATGTAACTTTAATAATTATAATTGAAGACTTTTTTCCTGTATTGTGATTGTTTATAAAACCAGTTTAAAAACATTAACTTTCTGAGAGGCATTGCAAGACCATAAATAATGCAACCTGCTAGGCTACAGATAAACTTACTTTTCAAGAAAAGGCATTATTCAGTGTGGATGAATCATCCAAAATGATCATGCAAATAAACAAGACAGTCTGAACTGAAATTACAAGCAACAAAATAAAATGTTTCCACACCCAATGTTGCTCAAAAATGTTGCACGCCTTAAAAAAAATAAAATTAACTTTAATTTATCCTGCAATAAATAATACTACACACACCTTGTGCTACCAACCTGGCTAAGAAAAATAAGAGGCTATCTCAGTGTTCTTGTTTATTGCATCTTTCCTCTAAAACGGTGTCAGGAAGGCTCATCGGTTATGGTAAATTTGGGCTTCAACCTGAAAGACCTCTTCCTACTGGTGCTTTTAGGTGATAATGGGATGGAGTCTATGATGCTCCTGTCTTCCTCCAGCTGCCTGGCAGTGCAAGAAGGGGTGGGCACTTTCACCGTTTTACCAAACTTAGAGTAGTCCACTGAGTACCTACCATCTTCCTCGGCCACGATGGGCACAAACCTTTGGCCCCAGAGGATTTCGTCGGCCAGGTAGGAGGTCCTGGCTTGGGTGGTGATACCAGTGGTCTCCACCACCCCTTCCAAGATGACAATGACTTCTAGGTCCTCGTGGTGGTTGAGGTGTAGGGGGGAGATGTCGTAGAGGGGGCTGTTCTTGTCTATCACATGGTAGATGAGGAGCGGGGAGACCAGGAAGATGTTGCTGCCCCCCACTTGGTTCTCCATCTGGATGTCTATCTGGTTGAGGGGCACCACCTCGCCCTCCAGGCTGGTGGTCTTCTTCACCACCTGCATGCGGATGGTGGCGCTGATGATCATGCTCTTGCGCAGGTCGCCCACCCGTAGCATGAAGCAGAGCCTGCCCTCCCGCAGGGCGATCACCGCGTGCTTGCTGAAGATGAGGGTCTCGGCCCGGCGGTGCGCCTGAGCCGTCTTCATAAAGATGCAGCCCAGCATGATGGCGTTGATCACCAGCCCCACGATGTTCTGCACGATCAGCACCAGGATGGCAGTCGGGCACTCCTCAGTCACCATGCGGCCCCCAAATCCGATGGTCACCTGCACCTCGATGGAGAAGAGGAAGGCGGAGGTGAAGGAGTGGATGCTGGTCACGCAGGGCACGAACCCCCTGGCCTCCTCCCCAGCCCTCCGGCTACCCCCTGCCTGCAGCTGGGTGCTGTGGTCCAGGTCCCCATGGGCGAAGGCGATCAGCCACCAGGTCATGCCGAAGAGCAGCCAGCTGCACAGGAAGGTCATGGTGAAGATGATCAGAGTGTGCGGCCACTTGAGGTCCACCAGGGTGGTGAAGACGTCCTGCAGGAAGCGGCCCTGCTCCCGGATGTTCTTGTGGGCCACGTTGCAGGTGCCGTTCTTCCCCACGAACCTGGCCCGCCGCTCCCGGGCGCGGTAGCGGGCGTGCTCCGGGACATCCTCGGCGAGGCGGGTCAGCACATACTCCTCGGGGATGATCCCTTTCCTGGACAGCATGGCTCCCCCGAGGCGCTCAGCAATGCCCCATGCCGGCTCCCGCGAGCAGCCAGGCACACGCGGATCCTCCCCACCCTCCTGCTCGCCCTTCCCCGGCTCTGCTCCCAGGCCAGGCTGGCTTCTTCCTCCGTCCCCGCGGCCCCGTCCTGAGTAAGCCCCGGCTGCTCACGCCAATCACAGCCCCGGGAGCGGCGCGGGAGGGTGGGGATAGGAAACGGGCAAAGGGGTAGTATCTGGTGCACGGCTCCGGATTGCAGCAGCCAGGGCTTCGGACATGCAGAGCCTCCGTCCGGGCCTGTCCCCAAAGGCGGGGAGCGCCCCCCGCCACCCGGGAAGGGGACGATGCACGGAGAGGTGCGCTCAGCCCCCGTGCGCTTGGCCCGACTGCAGCGCTCTCTGCGCCGCCCAGTGCAAGGCGGGGAGCACCAGGGGGCGCCTCGGCGCCAGAGATTCCCGGCTCAGGTGGATGGAGCGGGGGCGGGGGGGCACCGAGAGAGCCGGTGTCACGAGACGGGGCGTGCAGGGGACACACAAATCCTCTCTCCTTCAGCCGGGGCGAAAGAAACGCGCAAAGGGCCTCACCGTGCAGGTCCCTGTGGGCCTGCGAGCGTCGGCTCATTTCCCTGCAGAGATCTCACTGCACCAGCTCCTTCTGTGTCCTTACTCAGGGACAGAAACTGACCTGCAGTAATCGCCAGCCTGTTCGAAGCAGAAGGGAAATCTGCCTCCCGCCCCCAGCCAGATGTAAATAAAGCTAGCCGAGTAAATAGTGTGAGGGAAAGAGGATGGTGTGACCACCAGGGAATAGCGGGGGCTTTAATGCCCTGAAATGCAGCTTTCCTTGCCCTGTGAACAGGCTCCTGGTATAGCCAGCGGTTCTGGGTTTGAGCTTAATGGTCTTCTAACAAACAAAAAATTCCCATCGTTATGCATTGCTGCGCACTGCAATTAAAAAGGAGTGGTTTGGCTCTGTTTATATTTACATTCTGCTGCTGTACTGAAAGCTAACTCTGTTCTGTGCAAGGGTTGTTTCCTTTTAGCAGTGGAACATGGCAAGATTATAAATAAAATGTTTTTTAAAAGGGAGGTTTGGCAAGTTTTTCCAGGGGGAGGTTTCTAGTCAAATTGTTGCACTTCCTAAGCAGGTTCAGATCAGGGACAGAACAGATGGGGACAATGCAGACCTAGACAAAGGTCACTTGGCAAATTCATTTATAACCTAAATATTAAGATCATTTTTAGCACCATGATTCTCTGAATCCCAAATAAGTATATTGGGGAAGCAATCTTGTTTTTTCCTATCAATTTCAAACATTGTATCTTGTACAATTAAAAAAAAAGTTGACATTTTGATTAAGTTATATGATATTGCTTTAGCCGATTGGGGCATAAAACTGCAGAAATTCTCAACTTCTGGTTGCTGATCCATGTGATAAATAAATAGGTACATCTCTTAGCTATTTCTGTAGCACATAGCCTGCTGGTATGTAGGCTCCATAAATATTTACATTAATTTTATTAATTATCGTGTTTCTTTAGTGGTGGTTTATAGATTCTAGGACTGGAAGGGACCTTGAGAGGTCATCGAATTGAGAGTATTTTGAGGATAGCTTTACCTCTGGTGTCTATTTTTTAATATGATTAAGTTTTGTGTTGGTCTAACTTGTGCTGAGGAAATGACATATAAAATGGCTCTTTTTAAAGAAATCTTTATTAAAAGGAAATTTAGAGGAGGTTGCATTGCAATTTTTATTTAAATAGTAGGAAAGGCTGCATTTAAGAATCAGATAGTTCAGCTGGATAATGAAGGATGGAAGCTTTGTTTACAGAGGCCCTGATCCAGCAAAGCACTTAAGCCCAGGCTTAAATACAAGCATGTAAATACATTTAAGCCTGGGCTTAAATGAATCAGTGCCTAACCAAACCAGCACTAATTGAATTTTCTAGAATTATTTATCATTTATCCCTAAACTTTTTAAAGAAAGTTTACTGAATGGATAGCTAATAAAGCAGAAGAAGAGGTTTTCTAAAGCCAAGAGCCAGTGTTCCAGTATGAGGGGTGGAGAAGATGTGACCCATAGCAGGAAGGCACATGAACGCAAGTAAGGGGTTGTTGGATGGACCCTGCAAATGCAGTAGAAGAGAAAGAAAGGAGGGAAGGCTTAATCCTATCCCATGTGTATTTTAAAACAACAACATGACTTCAAGAAATGTTAAAATTGCAGGAGGAGGTAACAAAAAGAAGTAACCAGAGCTTATGTCTGTGTGCACATGATTTTTCCAGAGTGTATAGTTAGCAATAATTTTTAAAGGGCACTGGTAGTGGGTTTATGCTCAAAACTGATTGAATAAAGACAATAAGTAAGTATACTGTTTTATATTTGTGCTTAGACAGTAAAATGATTGAATTGCTTGAGTTTACCAGCATGTACTGCCTGGGGTGTCTTTCTTTTGTGTTAACGTTAAGAAAGAATATACACAAAAACAATTGTTTTGCCCTGTGTTAAAAGGAACGGTTGGGAGGTTTCCAGGGGTTGTGCGCATTGGTCAAATCCCCCTTAAGCTTTGGAGGGATTAAGTGTTGTGCCTAAAATCTAAGTAGTTATGGGTGTTGATTTACTAGATACTGTATCAATACTATAAAGGAGGTTAATGGATGGAAGCCAACCAGCCTTTGAGGTTGAAATGAACTATGCAACTTCTGCATCTAATGTTCTTGTGGCCTGACTATTGATTTTAGAATAAATATTGCTGACTATACACTCTTAGCCTGAAAATATCATTCCAGATTCTCAAATTCAATTGATTAATGTTGCCTGGATAGTTTTAAAAATATGGATAAACAGTTACACACACACACATCCAAACATATCTTAGCTTGCCATACATAGTCCTTTGGGAGGCTCTGTTTTCAATACTCTCTCTCTCCTGCACCCCTTATCCCCCATTCTGGGGCTGTCTTTCATGCCTTTTTGATCTCTAACACAAAGATGGTGGCGAAATACTCTGGCACCCTGGTTTTGTGGGCTGTGCTCTGAGCCAAGGATGCTTTTAGTTTTCCTGTCCACTTTATTTTTCTTGCAGATATTTTGATGCTGAACTCTAAAGTTCACCCCTTGTACATGGCAGATGAAAATTTTGAATGGTAAAGAATCTATGTTTAAATTCACACACATAATATGAATAGTTTTGCTCAAACAGGATTATTTTCTACATTTTTCTGATTAAAAAAAAATCATCTAAATGGGGAAACTAACTTAAAGGATCAGATGCTAAAGGCCCAGTTCTCCACCTCATTGCGTCTTGTGCAGCGGTTACTTACACCTGTGTAACGTAAGTGCAAAGTGTGTGTAAAATGCTTCTATACTTACTTGGTAGTGTTTTATACTCACTTTACAAAGCTATAAATTCCCAAATAATAATAATACTAAGGTGCTGGGGCACTAGACAATCAGGCCCTTGTTGAAATCAATTGATCAATCACAAAATCATTTTCTTATTCTTTCCATTGTCCTCCAGGGGGCAGTAATTACATTCACTTGAAGTGAAACTGAAAAGAAAGAAAGAAAAAAAGCCTGACACCCTTGTTAAATAATCCTATCAAAAGGAAGCTAGCTCACTAGTGCACTAATTTCAGTGCTTGGGGCAATAAACCAGCAGTGGAACTTTGAAATAGGGTAACATGAGCCAGAGCCAGAGTCAGATTTAGGGGCAGGCAACTGCCTGGGGTGCTGTGCTCAGGGTGAAATGGGCTACAAATGCAATAAAAATAAGGCATTCAGAAGTTTAACAAGAGGAGGAGGGTTGGGGTGCCAAAGACAGTCCTCGCCATTTGGTCTAGGGCCAGCCCTGACATGAGCTGCACTATCAAGGATGAGCTGGCTTTCTACTTTCGTTTCAGGAATTCTCAGTATTGCAGATTTGGCAGAGGGTTTCAGTGTCCCTCACCTCTGGTGGCTGTCACTTACCCACTTACGCTATTCTCCTCCACCACCAGCACTGGATGTCTGTGCACATAACTTCAGTCTGGGACAGTAAAACCAGTGGCTTTTTGATGAAGAATTTAAATAGCAGAATAAAGAGGAACCCTGTCTTTATGGATCAAGTAACAGATATTTAGAAGAAAAAAAAGGTGGCAGTTCTTTATGAGCCAACCTAGTTTTGTTTTAAGTGGTGTAGGACAAATAAGGGATTACTAAGCTCAGAGGAACTACCCCTCAGCCTGAGGGTTGATGCTTTGAATAAAGATGGGATAACAGACCTTTTGCTCCTACAAAATGGATTTCATATTCTTATACATTTTTCTTGTTGTTTTGTCTTGCTGAATCTTTTTGTATGGGAATTGTGGTTTTATTATGATGGACCCATAACTATAAAATAACATTAAAATGGCACTGTGATATTACTGTTTACTTTGCACTTATATTAGACCTTTAGTCCAAGGACCACAAAGTGCTTCAAAATATGAATTGAGCCTTTCAGCCCCCCATGAGGTCAAAGTATTATCAGTGTAGTTTTACAGATGGGTAAACTGATGCAGAGAGAGCGAGAGTGTGCGTTAAAAAGTAAGTCATTAGCAGAACTGGGGATTCTAAGTGACTGAGCCAGAATTTCACCCTAGGAGTCCTGATTCCTCTTGTCCACTAGACAATAATACATCCTCTCTTGAAATAGAATTAAATGTTATTAAAACAGTGATTTTTATAATGCTAATATTTATCATAGTGGAATCATTTCCATATTGCAGCACTATAGGCAAATCCTGACTCTGCAACTCAGCAGGTACAGATTCCAGAAATAGCTTCATGCCCCAGCCAGGCTCCATGCCCAAGGATAGGTAAATGGCTTGAGAAGTGGTAATCTTCCCTCTGCACAGTAGCTTTTGAGTTAAATAATAATCCTGAGAAACTCCTTCCAAGGAAAAGGATGGTGGTGGGGGCATCAGACCCCCCAAGACATGCAAAATAATTTAGTCTTGTGGGGCTAACGTGCTGCTGCCTCATGCATTACTAATCTCTGGGGAGACAGGGATCAAGGATCCCCTAAAGGACAGTGAATTTCCAACCTTCTTCTAGGGCTCCACAGCTCT